CTATAAAATCAATTAAAACACTTATTTGGATGCCTCGTATCTCTTTCTAATAACAAAATACACGCATTAGTAACTTCAAGGAAAATAATAAAATCATAAATTAAATAATTGAAAGAGAGATTTGGGACCAAACCCTCATAAATTAAAACCTTTCACGTCTAGGGCGAAAGCAACTTCGAACTTGGCTAGATGTTTCTAGATCTTGTGAATGCGGAATTTTGTACGCAAAAGGCTAGTTTAGAAAAGAGAGAGAGAGAGAGAGAGAGAGAGAGAGAGAGAGAGAGAGAGAGAGAGAGAGAGAGAGAGAGAGAATATCATGAGATTCTTAATGAGAGTTGGTGATTTTTTATGATTAGACAACGAAAGTTTTAGGAGACTATTTATAGAGAAAATCAACCGGATGTGATAAAAAACGAATCAGAGTTTCGAAAAGAATAAAACACGATCGCAGCGCCAAATGCTGGAGACTAACGCCAGACGTCAGGTCTAGCGCTAGACTCCAAGCTTGGCGCCAGGCGCTGGTCCTGTCGTCAGACGCTGGAAACAAATTTTCACGCGTTTTCTTAATTTGATAAAATTTAGCCATACGAGAGGGCAAAATCGTATTTTACTTTAAAACACTTCTTTTATTCTAATTAAAACTCTAAAAAGTCAACTAAAGTCAATTTATCAATGCTAATTAAATTAGGAATGAAAAGAACCTTCTAGAAGAATCTAGAAGACTATAATCAATTCTAATCACATTAGGAATGATAAATCAATATTAGGCCCTCCTCTAGATCATTGGGCCGCATACAAATATCAAACCGGGCCCAGTTTAGTAATTTGGCCATAACTTCCTCATTATTCATCGGAATTGGGCTTATAATATATCGTTGGAAAGCTCTTTTTGAACCTGACCCAAATACACCATAAATGGACCCTTTCCATGGACCAAACCAAACTGGATTGGCTGTTTTCTTAAAATAGGTTTTCAAAATTAGAGAGAAAGAAAAGAAATAAAAACTAACCGCAACACTAGACTTTCCACACTTTAACTTTATTCGATTATGATTCAACGTGAAAGGTACTCATCACTGGGTTTGGTTTCGGGGAGACACAAATGGGTGTCTACAGACGCTGGGTTCATTCGGCCATGTAACTTCCCCGACTTGGTTGCGAATGTTGTGATTGTAAAGAAGCCGAATGGTACCTGGCGTATGTGTGTTGATTACACAAACCTCAACAAGGCATATCCAAAGGACAGTTATCCGCTTCCAAAGATCGACAATCTGGTCGACTCTACATTCGGTCATGCCCTTATTGAAATGTGTTACCCCAGAGAAGGGGAAAAAAGTTCTCGAAGAGTTGCATGCGGGATACTGCGCCTCCCACTCAGACGGCAGATCCCTAACCCTCAGAGCTAGGAGGCATTATTTTTGGCCCACTTTGGAGTCAGATGCTATGGAATTTGTTAAAAAATGTGACAAGTGTCAAAGGTTTGGCAAGCTCATCCATCGCCCAACTACTAATCTGACGGCAATCCACAGCCCAGTCCCGTTGGCTAAATGGGGCATGGACATTCTAGGTCCGTATACGCCTGCACCAGGCGGAAAATGCTATATTCTTGTGGCTGTGGACTATTTCACCAAGTGGGTGGAAGCGGAAGCGGTCAAAGGCATCAAGACAAAATATGTCATCTCCTTCATATGGAAGAACATTATCACCCGGTTTGGGGTACCTATGTCTATGGTATTTGATAATAGACCGCAATTTGAGACGCCTCATCTCAAAACTTGGTTGGGAGATAAAGGGATCTCACACTGTTTTGCATCAGTCGGCCGACCCCAAGCAAACGGCCAGGTTGAAGCCTTCAGCAAACTCATCTCAGGCAGTATTAAGAAGAAAGTTGAAAGAGTCGGTAGTTTATGGGCTGAAGAGTTAATTCACGTCCTGTGGTCCAACCGGACAACAGATAAAGGGGAAACCGGCGAAACCCCATTCCTAATGGTTTACGGTGCTGAAGCCGTCTTGCCCATTGTGCATTTTTTTTTTTTTTGGTAAATAAGATTTTATTACCAAAGAAAGAAAGTTACAACTTACAAGAGCTAAGTTATAACTACCACCAAAACACCACAAGACCTGAAAAAACAGGCCAACCCCAAAAACCAGTTCTAAATCCTATCCTAACCACCTTCTAGGAAGGGTTCTAGGAAGGGCCTAGAACAAACTAGACTCAGATTTTCAGCCACCTTCTAGGAAGGGTTCTGGAAACCAGGACCAGACAACAACACTAGCAACAAAGTACAAGATATGAAAGTGCATTACATGCCCTCTAGGCCAAACAAACACCAAAACCAAAGCCCGAAGGCAAAACAAAGACAATAACTACGGAACCCCTAAAAGCAAAGGAAACCGAAGCTACAACCAACAAGCAACAACCAACCCAAGAGCAGCAAAAGCAGCACCCCAGGGACAGCAACCAGACACCAACAGAGCTAGACAGCAACTGAGCCAGCTGCTAACAACAGCAACCAGGACATCACCACCAGAAACCAACAACAAGGTAACAACAACAGAGCAGCAGCAAGCAGAACAACATCAATCCACCAGCTGCCACCTAGAGCAGCAGCAGCAGCAGCTAGGAACAGCAACCAGAACCACCAGCTGCCACCTAACCACAGCAACAAAACAGAGCAGCACAAGCACTGCAACAGCAAAACAACAGCAACAGAGCAGGACCAGCACTACAGTAGCACAACTGCAACTTACAGCAGCAAATCCAGCAACAACACACAGACAGCCCAAGCTGCAAAACAGCAGAACCCGAAAAGCAGCAGCTAGAAACCAGCATAGCAGAACCTGAAACAGACTGCAGCAGTAACAAAGCAACAGCAGAACAGAAACAGGAATACAGCAGCAACACCAACAACACACTACTACAGCAACAACCAGACTGCAACAGCACAGGACAGCAACAGCAACAGAATAGAGCTGCTGAAAAGCTGCCCTCAACCAAAACAGACAGCTACAACACCAAAATTCAGTGAATCAAAAGCAGCTTCTTGTCTGTTCCTTTACACCTAACAACAACATGATAAATAATGTCATGAAAGACAGTTTCTAAAGGTTTACAGTCACCCGTAAACATCAGACTATTCCTTTGCAGCCATATCCTATAGATAGCCTCAGCAAAAACATAGAGTATACTCTACCCTTGCTGCTCGACTTCCTACAATTCTTAACTATGCATTGTTGTTCAATGTGAAAAGGTTGAACTGCTTTTTTCACATCAAGAAGCTTCAAAATCTGTTCCCAAATAGTCTTAGAATAAGGACAGCAGAAGAACAAGTGAGAGACAGATTCACAAGTATTCTGGCAGAAAAAGCAAATAGGATCACAACTTGCATTCCACTTCACAATTCTATCCTTAGTGGCAAGTTTGTCAAGTAAAGCTAACCAAGTAATGAAAATACTCTTAGGAGCGGCTTGGTTATTGCAAATAATTCTTTTCCACCCTACTTTAGGAGCCTGAGGTCGAATCCGGGCATAGAGTTTAACAATACTCATTTTCCCATTTTTTATAATAGAGGACCAGCCACCAATATCATCAATAATATCTCTGCAAGTCAAGATTTTCTTCAAAACCCATGAGCATTTCTTGGGAATAGTGGCAGTCCAAATATTCCTATTGTTGAAATAATAGGTATGCACCCATTTCACCCACATATTGTCAGATTTGTGAGCAAGATCCCACAGAATCTTGCACATAGCGGCTTTATTCCAATCACCAAGAGAGGTAATATTCCAGCCACCACAAACCTTAGGAAGAGTCATATGATGCCAGGAGACAGGGGCCTTTTTTGCATAAGTGTTCTTCCCAGTCCAAAGGAAAACCCTGAACTTGGTTTCAATTTCCCTAAGAATCTTCTTAGGAAGAATGAAAATCTGAGCCCAATAAGCCTGAATACCAAAGAGAACACTTTTGATAAGCTGTAACCTTCCAGCATAAGACAAGTGTCTAGAAGTCCAGCAATCAATCCTAGCAGTAACCCTTTCAACCAAAGGCCTACACTGAGCAATAGTAAGCTTTTTAGAAGACAAGGGCACCCCAAGATGTCTAAAAGGCAAACTACCTCTACTCATACCAAGAACAGTTTGCAGCTGATCTTTATCATAATTAGAGATACCTTCAAAATAAACCTCACTCTTACTTAATTTAGCCACCAGAACAGAAGCACAAGAGAATTTCTGGAAAGCCTGCAAGAGAAGCTGAATAGAGGTGGAATCAGCCCTAGAGAAGAGGAGAAAATCATCAGCAAACATCATATGGGTAATACCTAACTTCTCACATCTAGGATGAAAATTGAAATTAGGATTCCCAGTCATTTCCTTAAGGCACCTAGAGAGGTACTCCATACAAAGAGCAAAAAGAAAAGGAGACATATGATCTCCTTGCCTAAGGCCTTTTTTGTAGAAAAAGGTTTAGCAGGAAAGCCATTAACCATCACAGAGTAAGAAACAGAGCAGACACAAGTCATAATCCATTTTACAACATAATAAGGGAAACCAAGCTCTTCTAAAACAGTCTTCATAAATGGCCATTCAACAGAGTCATAGGCCTTTCTCAAGTCAATCTTGATCATGCATCTAGGAGAAACAAACTTATGAGAGTAGCATTTGATCAATTCAGTAGCCTGGAGAATATTGTCACCAATGTGCTTACCCGGGATAAACCCGGCTTGAGCATCATCAATAACAGTCCCCACCACTTTAGAAATCCTGTTTGTGAGAACTTTGGAGATCAGCTTGTACAACATGGTACAACAAGCAATAGGCCTAAACTCTCTGACATAAGAAGGATGCTGAACATTAGGCACTAAGGTGATTGTAGTAAAATTCCACTGCTTAGCTATGAAACCAGTCTCAAAGAAAGAGAAGATAGCAGTATAAATATCAGTTTTGATCATAGGCCAAGCCTTTTTGAAGAAAACAGCATTAAAACCATCGATTCCAGGCGCCTAAGCATCTCCAATGTGAGCTAGAGCACTATCAATCTCAGAAGTAGTAACCATAGAAGTCAAAATATCAATAGAACTAGAGCTGAGTTGAGAACCTCTCCTAATAGTGGCTAAGTCAACAGCAGGGAGAGAGCTATCACTAGAACCAAGGAGCCCTTTATAGAACCCCACAATCTCATTTTCAATAAGAATAGGATCTTTCAAAAGGACATCATCTTTAGTGAAGATAGAATCAATTCTATTTCTACCTTGCCTGTGCTTCATAACAGAAAAGAAGTAGTGAGAACTGGAATCCCCTAGCTTAATCCAATCAACCCTAGATTTCTGCTTATAAATGGACTCTTGGATATTCATCCAATGCTTCACCATAGATACAGCTTCAGCCTCTTTAACATGAAGGTCAGAATTAGAATAATCTACAGCAAGCTGGTCCTGAATGGCTTTCAAATAGGCAAGAGCCACATCCACTTTCTCATCAACATTAGCAAAATACTTAGTGTTTAGATCTTTTAGGTTCTTTTTGACGGATTTCAAATTCTGCCAAATAGTAACCATAACAGAACAACCTGTAACACTATGCAAGCTTTTTTCCATAATGGAACAAAAATCAGCATGATCAGCCAGGCAATTAAGAAACCTAAAAGGTCTCCCCTTAGTAGTAGCAAACCTACTCACTTCAACCAAGAGAGGGTTGTGGTAAGAAAGGAGAGGAGGAAGATAGATAGATTCAACATGAGGGAACTTGCTCAACCAAGCCTGATTCACAAGCCCCCTATCAATCCTTGTAGCAATTCTAGTATCACCATGACCCTTATTAGACCAAGAGTAAAAAGAACCTTTACTCTTAAGCTCACCAAGATCAAGATTGTCAACAAAACTTCTAAAATGATTGACCTCATAATCAAGTGAAAGCATTACCATTAACTCTATCATAAGAATTGAGAACAGAATTAAAGTCACCAATAACAAGCCAAGGCCCAGAAACAGCTCCAAAACTGGAAATACCATCCCAGAGAGGCAACCTATCATGAATAGAGTGTAAGCCATGCACAAAGGTACAGAAAATCTGATGATGAAGATCCTTGGAGTTAATTTGGACATGAATGAACTGCTCATGAGAGGAGATGACTGAAAGATTAACCTTGTCATGAAACCAGCCAACCCATAGTCTACCCCTATGAGAAGATGAGTAGTTACAAAACCAAGACCAAGAAGATCCAAATTTCTTCTGAAGCTTAACACTCTTATCACACTTCACTTTAGTTTCCATAATACCAACAACATCCACACACTGTTCAGCTAGCAGTTTCTTAAGAGAAACTACTTTGCAGGGATCATTTAAACCCCTAATGTTCCATGATAGGATAATCATGATCCCAGAGGGGGAATACCATCACCCCCGATAGGAACAAGTTCTCCAGCACCATCTCCATCCTTAAGCAGGGTAGCATAAGTGTTAGAATTAGGAACACTAGTAAAGACAGGAGGATTACTATGACTTCTTTGCTTCCTTCCCACCACTATCCAATCATCATCAGAATTATCTTGCACAGTAGTTGGAGCAGAAGTGAACACACCATTATTATGCATAGAGCCATTACCCCCAGATTCAGGTACACTAGACCCAGGTGCAGGAACAGTAGCAGGTTGGGGCTTAACAACCCACACCTTTTGCTTAGGCTGCTCCTTAGAAGCCACCTGCTTCTTTTGAGGCTGAACCTTCCTAGCACAGTCATGGCCTACTTTGTTACATTTGCTACAAAAGGGGGGTGCCCACTCAAAAACAACTTTTTGTTCAATCAAAGCACCATCTGGGCTTTCAAACCAAATATTCTTGGGTAAAGTCTTAGTTACATCAACTTCAATGAGCAACCTAGCAAAGGAGACCCTCAACTGCTTTGAAGTACACTCATCAGCACATAAAGGAACTCCTAAGACACTTCCCAGTCTGCTCAGGGTGTCCACACCCCAACAATTCAAAGGTAAGTTAGGTAATTTCACCCATATAGGAATAGTTCTCAAAACCTCAGCATGAAAGTCAAATTTCTCAGACCAAGGCTTAACAATAGCCGCCTTACCAAAGAACATGTGTGGACTAGCATTAAGAACAACATTCATATCATCAAAGTTTTGCATTTTAATCAGAAAGTAGCCATCATCATGCAAAAAAACATTAGGTTTAGCTACAACATTCAAATTTTCAGCAATGTATCTATGAACAGCAGCTATAGTAGGATAATAGCCTATGACATAGAAAATTACAGAATTCTTCCACTTAAGATTACCTTCTGTAATTTCGGCTTGTTGTAACATTGCAATAGATTTGCCATCTTTCATCATAGGAGCTACAAAAGAAAGGGTCGAACCCTTAGCAGTGAGCTTAGCAACGCCTGGCTTAGGAGCGGGAATATTTGGCTGAGGAGGGACCACATCATCCTCCAAAGAAACCGGGTCAGCACTTGGAGCAGAACCGATCCCAGAAACTAATGGAACAGTAACAGGGCCTGCTGTCTCTGGAATTCGCAGCACTGAGCCAAAATTAAGGTCAGGATTACCTTCATCCACCATAGTATCACCTGATAAAGCACAACCTGCATTAAGTTCCGACGAAGAAGCTCGGAGATCCAATGAAACAGTGGATCTGGGCACTGTTTTATTGGCTTTAATTAGACGCCATGAAAATCCTCAAGTGCTTTAAGCTCAGCTCTAGTAATCTTCTCAGTTGAACGACTCAAATGAGAAGGAGGAGTAACCAGCTCATCAGGATCCTCATCAATTTCTGGAATCGAAGAAGAACCCGCAAGCCTAGACACATTTAACCTATTAACACCAGCATTCAATAGAGATTTAGAAGCATGAATCAAGTTGTTTGAGGGTTGAGGAGTAAATTGCTTCTTCTTTCGAGCCATTGGAACCGATTAAGCTGAAGAAAAACCAGAAAAATCAGATCACCATGGAAGGAGAGAAAAGAGAGAAAAGTTAACGCAAGTCAACGCCCCCCATTGTGCTTTATGAACCGACTCTACGAGTCATGCTATATGATGAAGAGGCAAACTGGGAGGCCATGCGGCTAACATTGGAATCACTCTCGGAGCGCAGGGGAAATGTCGCCTTGCGTCATGAGATTTACCGTCTGAGAATGACTCGTGCTTACAATAAGATAGTGCAAAAACGGCCCTTGAGAGTTGGGGACTTTGTGCTACGTAAAATGGAGGCAACCGGTAGGGCCAATGAGCAAGGAAAGCTAACTCCTAATCAGGAAGGTCCTTACTGGATTTATGAAGAAGTTAGAAACGGTACGTACAGCCTAGAAACTCTAGACGGCAGGCAGCTACCTAGAACTTGGAATGTAGATGACTTTAAAAAGTACTACTTCTAAGGCCTGTAAATTTTTGTAAATAAAAAGCCTACCAATGAAAAGTTGCTTTTTGTTTTCAATATTGATTTAATTGCTTTGTATATATGCATGCGCAATCCAAGTTAATGTCTGTTGAAAACACAGACGAACAACAAATCGAATAAGCTAGGTTAAAACTTATTGGCTAACATGATATTTATATTAGGACCTCCATTTGGGCAATGCACAGGTGGACTTTTAAAAATGAAATTAAACTAAGTCAGAAGACCTAGTGGCAAAAAATAAAATTAAAACTGAGGCCAATGGCCGGATGCAGCATTGTTTTTATAAATTTGTCTGCTCCTATTAGAGTTTGGCATCCGGTGACACCCCTCCGGATGTTATCGTCGCAGAGGGCATTTTATCGTTTGCTCTAACAGCATATGCAGACAAAAAATATTGAACGACCAAAATGGTTAACTCATAGCTGTCTGACCAAAATAGTCTAAAAGAATGATTAAGTTTAAAACCGAATGTCAAGAGACATCAGCCGGTAAATTACCGAAGTTCTCTATTAGACTATTCAACGAAGTTGTACTAGTTGCCCCAATGGGGCAGGCGATTAAGTTACAATGGATAGAAGATGTCCCAGACGGCCTTTAAGCTGACTGAGATCCATCAAACAGGCGGACAACATGTCCCCTGTTCCATTGACCGCTAAACGGTAATCACCCTCCTAGCTAGCAACGAAATACCAGTTGCCCCAATGGGGCAGGCAATTGAAGTACAATGGGTTGAAGGTACCCCAGATGACCTTTAAGCCGTCTGAAGCCCATTAGATAGGCGGACAATGTCCCCTATTTCATTGATCGCCAAACGGTAATCGCCCGTCTGGCTAGAAAAAAATCCTATGTGAATACCCGGATTGGGTACAACGGCTGTTGATTAACAGATGTGTATGTACTTGGTTTGGGGCAATCACTACTGTGATTGATTGACTTTGAAACATTCCATACTCTTTAAAGTATCAAACATTCCAGTCAATCAATCATACAAATATCGAAACCAATCACACAGCCGCCAAGGGCAAGAATAGCCGGTATACTGTCTGAATTTGCCACATGCTTTAAAAAGATAGGCAAAAATTTCAAATTGCAGAATACATATGCATAAATTGAAATAAAATAAAATTTCATGAAGCCGACTTAGTCGGAAAATTTTCATTCAAAGCCGGCAAAAGGCCGGATAAATATTGTTAACCGGATAACATCCGGGAGAGGAGAATAATTGTTACCCGACTCCACAATCAATAAAAACACAAATACTCGGCAGCAGTACGGAAAGATCTAAATACCATAAAAAAACATGGCATATTGCTGCTGAAAACATTAAGGCTAAGGTTGGGCCGCCTGGTTATCCGGATGTTGGACCTCCTCGTTTGTAGCCGCTTGGATCTCCTTGGGGTTCTCCTCGTCCAATTGGACATCAATGGCTTCCCCTTCCCAGGGAGCTCTTTGGTAGGCTCCTCTAGCTCTCTGTTCACCCAGGCGGTGAAGAACACGGGCTCTGGCTCACCCTTCTCCCTTAAATAGACTACGGTTTCAGCATATTTGAAACCATAGACCACATGCAGTAGTCATTATCGGGATAAAGGGAAGCCTAGGCGATTTTCATCCGGGTGTCCGCATCCTCTTCATTTTCAGCAACCACCCGCTCCTCAGCCGCCTCAATGGTTGCCTCGAGGTTCTTCTGGACTTGCTCCGCGTCCTGCTTCAGCTTCTCAACCTCTACCTTCAGGTTAACATTCTCTTGAGAAACACCCTACAAGGTCTGGAGGTCTTCCTCCGTCTTCTTGAGTTTTGATTCAGCCGTGGTGGGTTTTTCCTTTGCCTCCTCTAGAGCCTGCTTGAGACCCCTAACCTCCTTCGCCTGTTTCATCAAGATGGCTTTAGATTCAAGTTCACTAATTGTACACTCATATTCAGCAACATCTTGTGAATCCCTAGCTGATTTAATGGCTCTTTTTACCTCCTCCCTCTTCCGTGTGTATGGCCGCTTGAGTCCCTCAACACTGAGCATGATCTGTAAACACAAACGGTGTTAATCATGCGGGGTATCTTATGCTTAATTGAAGAAAAAGGGAATTAAGTGTACCTTAGACAGGAGAGCCAGGATCCGTTCAACATTGAACGTCTCGATGATAGGGATCGCATCCTTCTCCTTTATATGTACCGCCGCCAGCATGGCCTGGGCATGCGCAAGTCATCCGGTCATTGGGGGATTGATCTGCACCATACGTTAAAGGTAAGTGAGCTATATAGGCGGCACCAGTTTGATATCAGCTGCCTGACGAAGAGGTTTGTTGAGAGTCAGATTTCACTCGCAACGGCAAGCCCAGCTCAGGCGAGGATTCGAAGGGATTGATTTTACCTTCGAGAGCTTGTGGGTTTGCTCCACCCACAAGCGCAGAAAGGTCGGATGGGACTAGGTCAAAAAATCCCACTCCGAAGCCTCCTAAGGCAGTGTTCCTCCCCCCGATGCGGAGGCGATGCTTCCCAGAAGACCCCTTAAGGCCCGTCTTACTTGAAGTTGCTTTTGCAGACTTAACAAGTTTGACTGGAGTAGAGGCGGTATCCTTTGGGCCCCGTTTGAAGAGGTTTTTGGTGAAGGATTTTGGAGGTTCTCCACCCTACAACATAAAACTACGAGTTAAGCATCCGGTTGCGCTTGATAAAAAGTTAGGCTGTGAAAAAGGTATTTACCTTTGCCCTCAGTTTGGCAGCCTGGCCTTCGCCAGGTCCCTTCTAATTTGGGCGAAGGACCATTTTGGGGTCTTTCTTCAGCCACCATATTTAAAGCGTCTTCTGCTAAAAATAACAAACACATTAAATAAATTTTGACTAAGTAGCAGAAGTACAAGCGGCATTAAACCGGATGCCGGTGAAACGTACGTTTTGGAATCATGGTGCTGAGCCCGCAGGCGGACAAGAACGCCTCGTCCTTGAACCATGCGCACATGGGAATCCAATTATTAG